GTTAAGGTTTAGATTGGTTGGTTAGCCCACACAGGAGGTTAAGTGTGGGTGCTACTCGCGACCCGATTTGGGTCGTGTCGTCTGCTATGTTCCTTTTTCCCAATTCTTTTCACCAAATTCAAATCTGAATCTGTGTTTATTTTGTGAATTTATAACCTTATAGGCAAAATTTGAAATTATTAAATATGAATATATATATATATATATATATATATATATATATATATATATATATATATATATATATATAAAATCAAACAATATATTATGTATGAATGCTTTTGTGGTTTACTAACAAATTACAATCTACTAAATCTCAAATATGAAATAAAATCATAAAAATAGTGTTTAATATACTAAAATTTCGAAATGCATAAATATTTGATGAGAATGTTAACAAACTCATATAAAAATTAAAAAAATGACCAAAAAATTATAATACATGCAATACAAAATTCAACATAATTTTTATTTAGAAAATAGAATCTTATGAAATCTCGCAATATAAAAGATGATTACGAAAATACCTTTATATATTGAGAGATTTCTTGATTTAACGATATATCTGAACAAATTGATATGAACTTGAATCATTAGTTCTTCTTCAACAATGAGAGACAATAATGGTGAAAATGGTAAAAGAAAAAAAAATTGAAAATCTTAAAGATGAAAATAAATTTAATAGTATTAAATTCTAGAAGAAGTCCAAAATGGATAGTGAATATATTTAATGTTGGACTGTTTTGAGAAATAAAAAAGAAAGACAAATAATAGTATTTACAAATTATTTTTAAAATATTGACATTTTGACTAAATATTTTAAAATGTAAATGTTTTTACTAATTAAGTTAGGAATTATGACTACTTTACTAATTTTTTCAATTTTAAATGTATTAATGCACAAACAAGCCGATAAGAACTCAATTGATTTGGTAATAAATTAACAAAATTATTTAACAATTATGGAACAATGTTTATTACTCTAGACTCTAAAACCTTCAATCTTTTCCCAAAAAAAAATAAGTTTTTGGTAGTAACTGAAACTTTTTTTAAAAACATTTTCCATTCTTTATGTCCTGCTGGTTAATTATTACATTTCTAAGAGATTGCGTTCAAATTATGTTTGCGGGGTCTATAAACTAAAATTAGGGGTGTACAAAAACTTAATTGGTTTGAAGTTTTTTTAAATATCAAATCAAATTATTTGTGTTAAATTTTTAATCTATAAATCAAATTAAACTAATAAATTATGATTTTTCAATTTAGAGTCTTTTTTTCCAGATTTCTCGAGTTATGGGGTTTTTCCGGCAAATTATTCATATGATACATATAATAATTAACTTGTGTTTTAAACATTTCTTTAGTCTCGCCAAAATATAATTATCAAAGATGTTTTTTAAGAAAATAACATGAAATATGATAATGAAGACAGTAAAATATTCAACACAATAATAATAAAATCATGTAAAACAAATATTGCAAATAAATAAGCCAAAACGAAAACGATCATAATTTTAAATTATAAATCATGTTAAGATAAGTTTATTTAGTTTAAATGAAGATATAATTAAAGAACAAATATTGAACATTATTGTCATTCTTTGTATTTAGTTGTTTTTATTTTGGGTTAGCAATAATATTGATTTGATTGAGCTTCGTCAAAATTACTAATACTCTATGGAATATAACCTTTAGGACTATTCAAAATATTTAAGTCAAACTCAATAATTTTGTTAAAAGATAAAATTTATGAAAACGTATTAAGAAATAGTTTCTAAATTATATCAAAATAAATATTTTTATGCATGAAATAATTATTAAAAATTATATGTGTGATGTCATATTGGTTTGATCTTGGATTGAATTTTTAAGGTGAAAACCACATCAACCCAATATATTCATTTTTTTTTATCTTTAATACCAAACTACTAGCCAAAAGATTTTCCTCTTAATAAGATTTTAGATTCAATCTTGTTCACCTCTAACTAAAATAATTGACCATATAATTTTTAGTTGTCCTAAAACTCAGTAGTGTGGAAGTTGACTCCTAACAATTGGCCTAATTTGAAAAATGTTGACTTTTGCAGTATGATGAAATGAGAATTTTTTTTACAAGTCAATATCCAGAATTCATTGAGCTACTTAAATTGAGTCTCTTTAACGGCAAATGTGGAAAGCTAGAAACTTGTTGTGCTTTATCAGTGGTATATATGAACCTAATAACATAGTTAATAGGACTCCATTTGGTTTGCATATGTACAAACTTCTGCAGATATATATATAAGATTTTATGATGCAACTCTATTACTGTTGCCCAAGAAAATGATGCATACAAGCATATGAAACTTCCAATAATTGTAAGTTACAAATTTAATAGAGGAATAACTACTGTCATACTGATAATTAAGGGGAAGCATACAATGTCATTCTTGAGTATATTGTTGTAAAAGGACTCATTGAATTTTACATCCCCCAGAATCTTCTCCACGACGGACATCGCCGTAGGCAGAAAGTTCAAGAAGATCCATGTCGCGACCTGGATAAAGTTTTAAAAGGTTAATATTATCATAGATGACCACAAACTAGAATGCCAAACACTTAAACAGAAGATTGCATCTACCTGAAACCCAACAATACGAACTTCTCTGAATGATTTCAGCTTATGATATATCAGTTCAGTTCCCCTTCGATCTATTAACTGTCGCCTGCATGAAGGGACTCATCCCATCAATTATCTAACTTTTACACACAGATTCCCCATTTTCTTCCCTCAACTTTCTACAGAAGCAGCATAACCCTTTCGTTTCTCTTCTGCTCCCCCACCCCATCCCTTTGGGTGAAGGAGAGGAGGGAGTGAAGGCAAGGCACCAAAGTTCCATTTCAATATTGAGATCAACATGGGGTCAATGGAACAGATACACTTCTAGGAATCACTATGGAGCAGTAAAAAGTACTCCCTCTAGCCCAGTTTTACTTGTCGCATTTTTGGTTAACACGGTAATTTAATTTTAATAAGGACGATAAAAGTCGTCAAGAGGGAGTAATAACTCGTCTAGATAACATCGATAAAGATGGAGAACCAAGCATCAAGTTGATTAAGGAGATAAAGGCACAAGATACATAATCCCTAAGTAGTCTTAACACTCCTTGTATTCTTGAAAGAATTATGTACAATTTATTTCAAATATCAATGAAATAATATCTTCAACTAAAGTAGCACATACTATGAATTAAAAGACAGATTAACTGAAAACAAATCATACAATAATAGGAAACCGTGAGTGTACGATGATGCAGCAAGGATATTTCATAATACTCCACAGCAAGCACAAACAGAGATGTTGTATCAGAGAGAAAATCTCACCTGCAAAACTTGACAATTCTCTAGTGTACTTTCTCCACCCTGCAAAATATTTAAAACAGATGAACTCAATCAAATGTCTACTTTTGGAAATTTGGTTGTTAAAAACAGAACATCAAGATGAGGGTAATCTTTTCTAGAAGCAGACATTTCTCAACGATAGAAACTTCAAAAAGTATGACATGTTTTAAGATACCCAGAGAAATGAAAGAAGATTCACAATATCTGAAAAGCTTGATTGGAACTGATGGTGTGATGCGACACTAAGGTTAGAATTTGTCATATAGAGCATCATAAAATATAAAACAGTTTCATAGCAAATTTAGCACTTGCCACACTCTCAATCCCCCAAGAAAAAGAGAAAAGGAAAGGAAAGCAAAATAGAACAGAAATGAAGATGTTTAGCAACTACCGGCTCTTAAGTGGAGGTGTTGTACTCGATTAAGCATGAGGTTAACTTATATAAGTACTGATCTGTCTCTCAATCTTATCATGTAGTCCTTTTTCACTTCTTCGTCCTCTTCTTTGCTATTACTAAGTTTAACAAAGTCCCAATCAATTAAGACTGACCAGAATCATTGGAAAGAAAAGATAACTATACTCCTTTTTTTTATGTGTCTCCATTAATTTTGAGTTTTTTTTCAATCACAAGTCTGATCAAATGAGGTAAGAGAACATGCAAAAGAATCAAGATCACCAAATGAACTGTTTATTTTTTTATTTTTCACAGATAATGGACTGTTCATTTTATCAAGAAAGTTTATCAAGTTCTCATCACGTAGTCCACACCAAGGATGTTTTTACCAGATAAGCATAACCATCCTGCCAATGAATGAGATCTGTCATAACAAGCTAAAGATCAAGGGTCATACCCTTTACGAAAATGACCAATTCAGGCTTGTATGAGTGGTATGTATTAGCATTTCATTTTTTTCCTTTTCCTCCCTCAGGAGCGAGGAACAAGCTTCAAAATAAAAAATTGGGCATAGAGATTTGAGTTTGTAAATGTTAAAGGACTATTAATATAATTGTCAGAATGTTTGAAGTATTAAGTTTATGTTAGATATTTCCTCGTGTTGCCAAATTATCATGTGTCTTGTGAGAACGACGGAAACAGGTATCTTGCATTCTTTAATCAAAATATCTCTCTTATTTTCTCACATTGTATCAAAGCCTCAACTATCTTGATAGACACTCAAATAACTTTCAGTTATCTAGTGGCCTTCTTATGTGCTTTTCCCGCTAGATTTTCTTCTTATCTTTCTTTTTCCATAAAAGGACCAGTGGAAGCTCCAAACATCTTCAAAACTCTAATTTGTTAGTGTGTTAAAGTTAGAATATCATTTACATTGTGCATGACAAACCACAAACTACAAAAAAGTATGTTAGTGTTTACCAAATCATCATGTTATTAATCTATCTCTTCCTTTATATAATTATCTCAAAGTTTATCTCAGCCACTAAGGCATTGGCAGAGGGATCAAGTAAATTCTACCATTCAAGCGGCACACTTCTATCTATAGTCGTAATTTAAATTGTACTGTGCTAACTTTTAGTGATCCTTGCAAAGGGAGTATGTTTATTGATGGTGACCCTTCTACGATGTGGCTCTTATTTTCAATGACTGACCCAGTAACACTTACTGCATTGACTATGGTTGTCTGGGACACGCCATGCTGATTTTCACTAGTTGTTCTTACAATACCCTGTCCCGTTCTGACAATGTTGTCAAGGATGAAAGTGTAGAAAGCTCTACAATCAACTGGGATTCTATATAAAATAAGAACTAAAATATTCAACTATTAGAATAGAAATAAGTATTTCCTACTTAAAATGGGGATAGAAATAGAAATAGGATTCCTAGTTGGAAAAAGATTCTAATGTAGTGTCTATAAATAGGGTCTTCATGTAATAGTTTAGATACACAATTCAATAATATTTTTCCCATATAATTCTCACATGGTATTAGAGCAGTGCCTGACTCACCCGATGTTGGGGCCCCCAAAATCAAAATTGTCCACGCACTAGATGCTAAACACTGGGCGTGAGGTGGGGTGCTAAAAAATGACAAAAGTCTCACATCGGTGGTTAATGAGATGGGTAGACTCCTTATAAGGTTTGGGCAATCCTCCTCCTTTGATCTAGATCTTGGGGTGTAAGTTAAACCTAAGACCTAATTTCACATGGTATCAGAGCATTGGTGAGAATACCACATCAAATTTCGGCGACGACGGTGGGACTGATTGGTGTCATCTTTTGTTCTGAAGGTGTTGTGCAAAAGACAACATCATCACGAGGCTTGGGAAGCTCAGGCGACCAAACCCCAACCAGACCCACCGTAAAATAACCCCCCACACGCCCCCACGCACTGATCGGAGGTGACAGTTTTCTGATGAGATCTGTTCACGCGCTAGCGCATGAGTGCTGCTCCAGTCACTTTTTTTCTAGCAGTTTTTTTCCATTAGGGTTGCCCAATATATCCGACCAGAACCCAGTTAATTTTATTCTAGATCCGATCACCGGAATTAGGGTTTCGGTGATTTTCAAGCAGTTCCCGCCGAAATCAGACCACTTAGGCCACTGTGGGCAAATTCTGACAGCTTCTAATATAACGAGTTCCTTCGAAATTGCGCAAGTAAAAAATGTTTTGGAAAACCTCGATACAGGTATAGTCATTGTCATAACCTTGGACACACTCGAGACATATGTTATCTTTTACATGGTCCGCCACCCAGTTATGATCTTGTTGTTCTACAGGAATATAGAGAGTTCCTTCAGTATAGTGCAAATAAACAAACGTCTCCACAAGTAGTTTCGGTTGCACAAACTGATGTTTTTGTTACAGTAATTCTTTTACTTGTGTGTCACAGTCTAGCACTCTTGGATCATGGGTCTGAGACTCGGGGCTTTTGATCATATCTCTAGTATAAATCACTTTTGTTAGATATTGTTTATTCACAATCTCTTCCAGCTATTATTTTAGCCAATGGAATCCAAACAAAACCAAAGGGGTTGGAAAAGCCAAATGCGTATCTTCTGTCACCCTAGACTCTGTTCTTTATGTTCCTTGTTCTCCTTCTAATCTAACATCGGTTAGTCGTTTGACGAAAGCCCTACATTGTAGCATAACTTTTTTTTTGATGATTTTTTTCTCATGCAGGACCGTAGTATGGGACGGACAATTGGAACAGGACATGAATCAGAAGGTCTTTACTATCTTACCTCTTCTAATTCTTTATATCATGCTCCGTTACAAATTTCCCAGATCTAATTCACAAACGTTTGGGACATCCAAACTGCAAAAAATGGTGCCTAGTTTGTCTAGTTTATCCACATTAGATTGTGAGTCGTGTCAACTTAGGAAACACACTTGTGCTACATTTTCATGTAGTATTGAGGGTTGTTCAGAGTCTAATTTTTCATTAATTCATTCTGATTTTTGGAGTCCTAGTAGAGTTAGTTCCACCTTAGGATTTCGTTATTTTATTAGTTTCATTGACGATAATTCGAGATGCACTTGGGGGTTTTCTTAATGAAAGATTATTCTTAGTTATTTTCTATATTCAAAGGTTTCTTTGCTGAAATACAAAATAAGTTTGGTGTTTCTGTTGGTGGTTCCCGTAGTGATAATGCTTTAGAATACTTATCATTCCAGTTTCAGGACTTTATGTCTCACCAAGGAATTATTCACCAAACATCTTGTCTATACACTCCTGAGCAAAATTGTGTCGCAGAAAGAAAGAATAGGCATCTTATAAAAAATGCTTGCACTCTCCTCATAGAATCCCATGTTTCGCTGGGTTTTTGGGGCGATGCAGGCCTTTCATCTTGTTATTTAATTAACATAATTCTCTCTTCTTCTATTCAGAATTGGGTTCCGCTTTCATTACTATTTCCTCAGTCACATCTCAATCTTATCCCCCATCATGTCTTTGGAAGCCTATGCTTTGTTCATAATATAGCCCAGAGAAAGATAAATTAGCTTGTATTTGTCTTTCTTGGTTACTCTAGAGTTCAAAAAGGGTATCATTGTTATTCACATGATCTTCATCTATACCTTATGTCCACTGATGTTGCATTTTTTTAGTCTCAGCCTTATTATACATCTTCTGATCATCCTGATGTATCTATGGTCTTACCCACACCTCAGGTTTTCCCAGTGCCAACCTTTGAGGAATCTACAGTTACTTCTACATCTCCAGTTGTAGTGCCACTACTACTAACTTATCATCGTCGTCCACGTCCAGCCCTAGTCCCAGGTGATTCATCTCATGCGCTAAACCCTGCTGCTCCTACTGCAGACTTGCCTCCTCTTAGCCAACCACTTGTACTTCAAAAAGGTATACGATCCACTCGAAATACTAACCCACATTATATCTTCTTAAGTTATCATTGTCTATCATCACCCTGTTATGCCTTTGTGTCGTTTTTATCCTCTATTTCCATCCCTAAAACTACAGGTGAAGCACTTTCTCATCTTCATGGAGACAGGCTATGGTTGATGAGATGTCTACTTTGCATAAAAGTGGTACTAGTAGCTTGTCTTCCTTCATGCAGGGACATCTACAATTGGTTGTTGTTGGGATTATGCAGTCAAAATTTGCCCAGATGGTCAGGTTGATCAACTTAAGGCTCGCCTTGTTGCCAAAGGGTAAACTCAGATATTTGGGCTAGATTATAGTGGCACTTTTGCTCCTGTGGCTAAAATAGCATCTGTCTGCCTTTTTATTATATCTATAACTCTCTTTCTGCATTGGGATCTTCATCAGTTGGACATTAAGAATGATTTTCTACATGGTGATCTTCAGGAAAAGGTCGATATGGAGCAACTACCTGGTTTTGTTTTTAAGGGGGTCTAGTAGCCTTGTATGTTGATTGCATAGGTGAACTTTATGGTCTAAAACAGTCTCTTCGAGCTTGGTTTAGGAAGTTCAGCACAGTAATTCAGCACAGTATTTCAACAGTTTGGTATGAATCTTTGTGGAGCTGATTACTCGGTGTTTTATCGGCATTCAGCACAAAGTCGACGTATCTATTTGGTAAATTACGTTGATGATATTGTTATCACCGATAATAATCAAGATGGTATCACCGATTTGAAGCAACATCTCTTTAAGCATTTCCAGACTAAAGACCTTGGCAAATTAAAGTATTTTCTAGGTATTGAGGTTCCTTAGTCTAGATCAGGTATAGTTATTTCCCAACGCAAGTATGGCTTAGACATTCTTGAGGATATAAGAATGATCTGATGTAGACCTACTGACACTCCTATGGATCCCAATATTAAACTCCTTCAGGATAAGACGGCTCGTTGGAAAGTTGAATTATCTCACAGTGACTAGACCTGCCATCTCTTTTCGTGTGAGTGTTCTAAGTCATTATATGACTTCCCCTGGTCAAAATCATTAGATAAACAAATGTTGACTGGCAAGGATCACCCTCTGATAGACGTTTGACATCTGGATATTGTGTTTTAGTAAGAGGTAATTTGGTGTCTTAGAAGAGTAAGAAACAGAATGTGGTTGCTCGATCTAGTGTGGAATTAGAATATCGAGTAATGGCGACAACAACTTGTGAGCTAGTTTGGATCAAACAGTTGTTGGGAGAACTAAAATTTGGCAAAATCAATCAAATAGAACTTGTATGTGATAATCAAGTGGCTCTTCATATCGCATCAAATCTAGTGTTACATGAAAAGACTAAGCACATTGAGATTGACTGCCACTTTGTCAGAGAAAAGATACTCTCAGGAGATATTGTTACGAAATTCGTGCAGTCAAATGATCATCTTGCAGATATCTTCACCAAGTCCCTCATAGGTCCTCGTATTAATTACATTTGTAACAAGCTAGGTACATATGATTTGTATGCACCAGCTTGAGGGGGGGGTGCTAGAATAGAAATAGGTATTTCCTACTTAAAATAGGAATAGAAATAGTAATAGAAATCCTAGTTGGAAAAGGATTTTAATGTAGTGTCTATAAATAGGGTTCTCAATGTAACAGTTTAGATACACAATTCAATAATATTTTCCCCATATATTTCTCACAACAACAAAAGAATATAGATATTATATAAATACAAAAGGCAACAATTATATGGAAAAAGAACTAAAAGAGATAGAATTATCAAGTAAAATAATATCATCAAACTGTGTTTATCTGCATATTGCAAGAATAGCATATGCCAAAACCCGAACAAAAGATAATTGCATAGGCTGATGGTTAGCTTAGAAATACTCTGGCAATGAGAAATTATCAAAATATTAGAATGTAACGAAAAGATTCATGATGCCGATCCAACATTTTTTGGGTCATTGTTAGCTAACCCATCTGATTTGGAATTGAGCCTTGAAATGACATGCCAATAAAGTTCAATATCACTAAAATGCAGTTTTAGTCACTTATTAAAAGTTCTTAACTAGTTTTCTCATGCTATATTTATAATCTTATATTCATATTTACTAGCATATTCACTCATAACATACCACTATCAATTAAAAATATCCTTGCAGGCTCAATTTATTGTTGGTGACATACTCTGCAAAACTAGTCCAAGGGCATAGAGCACACACCTTAACACTTTGGTACTTGCCAGAAGCCAGCAAGATGAAGCATCAATCAATCTCATGCCTAGCTTCATCACTAAGGTGTGTGTTTTACCTATACTAAACAAAACTACTTCAAATGGCTTTCCAGCAATACCTCGTCTTTCCAAACACTATTGGCACCTGCATTTTAGTCATTGTTCACCCCACTTCTCCATCTTTATAATTAAATTTGGACATTCAAAAATTTCTAGCACATTTATTGGAAACTGTTCCATGAAAAGCAATTTTGGGCATCTTTGGATGTTTGCTTACATTCTTGTTCTAAAAAGAAAATTCAGATTGGTCTCCCCATCGGGTCAAAATGTTAGAACACTAGAAGTGTAAAGTTTTTAAGTTTGGTTATTTTCTGATAATAAACAAATCTAATGCATGTGTTGCATTATTAGCCAATAGGTGTGTCCTGTATTCGTACATATCATCAAGTTATCAGTACATATTTCCTCTCATCTTTGAGCGATTAAATCTGCTATACAGTCATTCATCATAAACACAAAAAATCAAGGAAAACAGTAGTTGAAAACAAGTATGTTGAAATACCCAAAACCTGCTGCAGAGAACAGCATCAGAACTCAATATTTTAAACAAAGCTTATGCAAAACTACTCCTCAATCCCAAACTTGTATGAGAAAAGTACCTTAGAATAGGGAATTATATGGTCATAGTCATGGCAGAGAAAACCAGGACATCCGACAAGCTTCCGAAAGATTGTGTTGCCCAATGGGTCTCGGTGCCATCGGTCCGGGTCTCTTCCCTTGACTTTCTCCGCCTTGTCCCAACACTGCTGCTTCACACTATACGGAAAACTTCTTGGGTTGGTTTTGGGGGAAATTTTAAGCAAACCCAACTCTTTAGTGATGATTTCACCGTCAAGCACTGAGACTGATGGACGAGGAGATAGCCTCGTATAGCGTGAACCCGAATCGGGTCCTGGTAGATTAATAGGTTGGCTTCTTTTTGGGGAGGAGATAAGTTCTTGTTTTTTCTATTGCCTTCTTTCATGTTTTCGTGTATTCTTATTCAGTGCCCACATGGCTGACTCATCTTAATTATTAAGTGTACCCACGCGATGCGCCAGTATTTTATTGGCCTAATCCATCGGACATTCCTTAAATTTGACATGAAAGGTGTGTTTGATACGAAGGAAAATGTTTTTCTGAAAAATAAGTAATGTTTGAATTTATTTTCTCATGTTTGATTAATGAGTAAAAAATATTTTTAAAAATAATTTTTGGTATTTGATTTATGATTGAAAAATATTTTTGATAGACATCTTTTATTTTTATTAGAGTAAAATAATTTATGAAATTGAAAATAATTTTTATTTGGGGTTGTGGTGGTGGTGGGGTGGTGATGGGGTGGGGGAGGTGGGAGGAGTGAAAAAATAAAAAATTGAACTTTATAGTATTTTTAAAAAACAAAATTAATTTTTTTGAGGATTTGGGGGTGGGTGGGGGGTTGGCCGGGGGTGGGTGGGGAAAGAGGGGGAGTGGGGTAGGAGTTTAAAAATAAAAATTTGAAGTTGAAAATATTTCTAAAAAGCAAAATTATATTTTTGGGGAGGGGGTGGTCGGTGGTGGGTGGATGCGGTCAAGGATCGGGTAAAACAATTAATTTTTTTAAAAAAATGTAATTTAAAATTGGAGGAGAGTTTTGGAAAATGTTCTCCTATAGAGAAATCATTTTCCTTAATTTTGAGGAAAATGAGTGGATTTTGAAAACATTTGCCAAAAACTTTTGTCCCAACAAAAACATGAGAAAATTGGAAAACATTTTTCAAAAAATGTTTTCCTTCATACCAAACACACTCGAAGTGTTAATAGTAAACACCTTATGTAGGGTATTGCTATGGCATTTTAACATTTTTTTTCAATCAACAAAATATATGAAGCGTGTGTATCACACTCGTGAATAACGTGTAAAATGACAAATTAAACGATGACATCTGTCATTTGTGTCAAAAATAATCCTTAAAGAATAAATTTTAAATGAATTAACGAAATGCGAATATTTGCCCAAAAACAATTGTTAAATAATAAATTTTAAGTAAAAATAAAAAATTACTAATGAATTAACGAAATGCGAATTTTTGCCCAAATAACTTTTTTTAAAAAAATTAAGCAAATACCCCCACTCCCTACCCCACAATCTTCTTCTCCAAATACCCCCGTTCAATACCCCCACAACCTTGTTTTCCAAACACTCCACCCATTTTGCAGAATTATTTGTACACACCCCGTTCTCCCCCCAACCCATTTTTGAAGATTCCCTCCCCCCACCCGCCCACCCCCCAAAAAAACTTAAAAATGATTTTCTTCTTCAAAAATATATGAGCATATTTTAAAAAAAATACTTGTATGCAAATATTTAATTCTTTTGGAAAAGAATCTCATGAATTCATTTACTATGTAAATCTTAAAATTGATATATTTCTTTAATTCTAAAACAATTTTCATCATTTCTCTTATGCTAACTATTTTGATTCACTATAGTTGGATGTTTGAGTTTCAAAAATGGTGGTTGAAGGTGAGAAAGAAGAAGAAAAAAAATTGAAAAGTCAACTAGATAAGTTTACACTCACTAAGTCATGTAAGCAAAAAGTGTTAAAATGATACAACAATGATGTCTAATATGAACACTGACCAGTTAAGGTGTCTAAGTGAAACTTTGTACCAAGTTTAAGGGGCTACCGATGGGTTAGACCTATTTTATTTATAAATTGAATCATTAAACATTTTTACATATTTAAAGATGACAACAACAAAAAATATGATTTTATACAATGTGTTTGTTGGTACAAACAAAATTATATTTTTCTTGCAATTTTTTATTGTCTAAATTATTAATAACATCTTCTTGTATATTTTGTTATAGTTTTTAAACGAATTCACAGTGCATATATTTTCATATTGTTGTTGGAGAACACAGATCTAAAGCTTACTCAAGAACCAAAATATTGGAAAGGGAAAAATATAACAAGCAGGCAAAGTGTTCTTCAACTGAAAGCTTCTGTTTTCATATCATCTTTCGCATCAATGATGCCTTTTAAATAGGCTTACAACTCAATTAAAATGAAGAATTAAAAGGGCACTAACTAAGTAGTACTTTCAACTAAATTGAGAAACTTAAGGACCAAATAACAACTATCCTAGACTAAGTCAAAGTGCAGTAAAAACACTAAAAGAATGTACAGTAACTTATCTCTTCTTTTGTTTGAATCATTTATTCAACATTTTCCTTGATTCAAAATCACTAACACCAAGCAATGATCTACAATAGACATGCTTCTTATATGACAGTGCCTTTGTGAAGATATTTGCTACTTATTCATTAGTCACACAGAACTTCAATATGACCTCTCCTTTTTCACTAGCTCACGAATAAAATGGAAGTGAATATCGATGTGCTTTGTTCTTCCATGAAATACAAGATTCTTAGCCATTTAAACTGTGGATTTGTTGTCGCAATAAATTTTCTTTTCTTTCTCTAGCTTCTAGTTCAAATCAACCGAAATTCTCCTAAGAAAATGCATTGACAAGTTGAAGTAGTTGCTGCGATGTACTCTACCTCTGAAGACGACAATGTTGTCGTTACTTGTTTCTTCAAACTCCATGTTTTTGCGCATGATCCAAGGCTAATACATTGCCTGATTGACTCTTCCTATCCTCTACCGAGTCTCCCTAATCACTGTCAGTAAAGCCTAACAATCTAAAATTTGAAACATGAGAGTACGAAATACAATATTATAATTCAACATAGTGTAAAATTCTTTGAATCTCCAAAATGATGCTTTGATGGATTGATCATAAACCTTAAAACAACACCAACAGAATATGAGATATCTAGACGAGTATGAGCTAAATAAATCAAAAACCTCCAACTAGACTTCTAAAACTTCTTGCTTTGGCTTGTCTAGTACCATCTTTCTGCTGCAATTTTTCATTCATATTCATGGTTGTTGCTGCAGATTTACAATTGACAGGGCCAAATCTTTTTAAAAGGTTTGATGCATATTTCTTTTGAGAAACAAATACGTCACCTTCTCCTTGTTTCACCTCAAGCCCAAGGAAGTAATACAACAAACCCAAATCATTCATCTCAAATTTATCATCATACTAGATTTTTATTCGACTATAATAGAGTGAGATAAACCCATATAAATTATATCATCAACATAGAAGTATACAACAAGAAGATCATTGTTAGCTCGCTTCTTTAAGTACAAAGTAGGCTCGCTTTCACTCATTTCAAACCCACTTTGAACAAAATAGGAATTGATTTTTTTACACCAGGCGTGTGGCACTTGTTTCAACCCATAAAGTGCCTTCCTCAAATGGTACACCTTTTCCTCTTGGCCAATGATTTCAAAACCTTGACATTGAGAAGCATATGTCACGCCCGGAGCCTACACCCTGGACGTGGTCGATGCCCAATGACCACTACTAGCCTTGAGCGAACCCTTGGCATGGCTTACTTAACTCAGCAGAAGGCTTAAACACAAGATATAACTTAAGGTAATAGATTAAAATAATACTTGGCCAAAATGGCAACTTCAAGTATTATCATTTACAAGTGTACTGAAAAGACCAAAGAAACTAATACTATCTGACTATGAAGCCTCTTAAGTAAAAATGGATGTTAGGACAGGACCCCAATCATCCTAACAACTGAAATCTAAAAACAAATAACTAAATTATAAAGATGTCCTCCAGAATGAAAAGAGGTTCACCAACTGACTCTGAGCTACTCACTGTATCAATAATACGCCGAATACTGATCCAAGTTACCTATGTCTACATCATAATACGATGCAGGCCAACTGACATCAGTACATTGAATGTGTGAGTATACGAGTTGGAATGCTAAACCACAACTTAAGATTGAAAAGGAGTAAGAAGGAACACTTACCTTGGCTCTATTCAACTCATGAATAACAAAATTCAATATAACTAACTCATTTGGTTATGTAGCAGTTTAAGGACATGTGCAATATAAAGAAAATTGTTTAAATATGGTTGTCAACTCTGTACATGTAAATACACAGTTAATATGATATGTATGAAAAATTACAAAATAATCTGGTATAAACTCATAATCTTAATAAAAGACGTAATGCTTTCTCTCAAAGTCTACTCATGCAATGCATGAATGAAGTCCCATACCCCATTCATAGTAATCAGAATCTCTTGAGGAACCATGCAACTACTGATCTAAGAGTTTCTCTAACCAAAAATTATCAATTAATAGTTATAGTGATGATACAACATATTACCTCACGCTGCCAACGACTATCTAACCTTGCGGAAGTATAGATACTGAATTGCCTAATGGATCCACTAGTAAACTGTGAAAATGATTCATCTAAAAATTATGACCCTTTTCTTATATAATGGCTACATGGTCTATGGGGGCTCTTATTTGTTTGAAATCTCCCCCATATCGGTGCTCAATACTACTCCCAAGAAATACATATCTTTTATGTTTTATAACAACTTTTCTTGTGATTTGAGAGTAGTGCTCAAAAACTTAGCTCAAAGGTTATCTTGGAAATCTCAGTTTCCTTGCTTGCTTCATTTTATAAAGCTATAACTCTATTCTGAAAACCATCCCGAAGGCTCATTGGAAAACTTAGTTTCCTTACTTGTTTAAATGTGAAAACATTTTAAATCTCTCTGAGGATACTTCGTTCTCCTACAATTTTGGAAGAAAATAACTTCTACTTAACTCATTAATCTTTATTCTCTACTCTTTACCTAGTTTGAAACTTGAGTCTTGAAACTATTCTTTGAGAAATACTTAGTTTCCTTTTATTTCTTTGAAGGAAGAACTTCAACGCTTTACTCTTTACTTAACTTGAAACTTAGCTCTTAGGAAATACTTAGTTCCCTTATTACTTTTGATAATTGAACGCAACTCTTTACTCTTTTCTT